CGCAGGATATGTATGTGGTCCATGGTACTAAAGCCTTTTCGGGAGCCGGTTTGTTCAGGAGGCTGGAATTCGTCGAGTCTGCGTGCGAGACGATTCGTAATGACTCTCGAAAACAGCACGTAGACGCAGCTCAGAAGAGAAATCGGTCTGTAGTTCTTTAAGAGTGCGTTTTCGCCTTTCTTGAAGAACAAGACCACCGCACTTCTGCTCCACGGCTCCAGCGTAGTGCCACCATGGATGACGGAATTAAAGAGCTTCTGAAGGACTTCAAGTACCGGTTTTCCACCCGATTTCAAAAGCTCCGCTGTAATTCCATCCTCGCCTGGGGCCTTGCTCTTTTTAATGTGCTTGAGAGCCATTCTAATCTCGCTCAGACTGACGTCCGAGATATCTTTGGAATAGTGTCGGCTAAGACTCGCTCTTGGATTGTTACTCACACTTTCGTTTGGCTCCAACGATTACTTGTATAGCTGCCCATAGAACCTCCGAATCTTATTCAAAATCTCAGGTGTCCCGGAAACGATGCTGCCACACTCGGTCTTCAGCTTTGACAGTTGGCTCCTTCTGGCAGACAGATCTCTGGGAAAGACTTTGGAGCCTTGGTTCCTCTCGATCGCTTCTTCAATATAAGCTGTATTGAAGTTGCGCAAGTCCCGCCGCATGCATTTGGAGATCTGTCTATTCAGTTGCCTGTATGCTGTCGAATCCGTTGAAGAATGTAGCTTCATCTCCCGTCTAACAGCCATTAGATTAGGAGTGTGATCGGAGAGCTTTTGTGTTCTTCTGCGGCGGGTCTTGCAGAACTTAGCTCCGACCCCATGGACAGCTTCCAGGAGCTTGTCATTCATATCGTCCACTTCATTGCAGTCTTCTAGCCACTAAAAACGGTTTTATAACTCGAGCTGAAAGGTTTCGGGACTTTGGAATAGAGCACGAGGGGGACAGAGCGTTGACTTCATTAGACGAGACCTCTTCAACTTAACGTTTAGGTTCAGTGTTCCTCTAACCATTCGGTGATCGCTACCAGTTTTTACCCTCGCGATCACGGAGACATCGCTGAACAGTTGTCGTCTGGTCGTCATAATGAAGTCAATCTCATTTTTTGTCGAACCGTCGGGGCTCGACCAGGTCCACTTCCTGTGGGGCGGTTTCTGGAAGAAAGAGTTCGTCATATAGTGCCTCTTTTTCCATGAAGTCGGCCAGCTGCTGGCCCCTTGGGTTCTGTTGCCCTATTCCAAATTTCCCTACTTTCAGCTTACCATTCTCTCTTGTGCCTAGTTTTGCATTGAAATCTCCCATTAACACCGTATTGAGGGTTTTGGAGGAATGCATGCAGCTCCACGATGTTCTCGTCAGTCTTCAGGGTGCGTGCGTTGTATGTTGCCAGGTCGAGTCGTCTTAGGTGGCAACCGAACCTCCACCGGAGATTCTTAGCACCCCCTGCCCCGCCGTTACCATGGTCGCCACCGTAACCAGGAATAGCGGGGGCCGCCGGGGACTGGAGGCCATCTCTTTGTTGCTCTAATCATTGGGGGGTATTTGCCATAGTTGCCACGCTTGGCGAGCGGGTATGCAACCGCATTTTTTGTTATTGTACTTTTGCTGTTATCAGGAAGATGCTGCTGCCCATCTCCTGCCTGTTTCCCTTTGTCGCCTTTTACGACACCCACGGGAAGATATGTGATAGTGGATGTTCTTAACCGCCACTACACGGCATATACTACTTTTATATTTCGTATTACTTCCCTCTGTCGCCTTTTAAGGGATTCACGGTACGATATGGATTCGTGGTCCTACACCGCCACTTCAGGCCGGTGTTTTAACATGCTTTTATTAGCTTGGTAATTATCTATGTATACGGAATATTGGGATTTGATTTTCATCCCTTTCAAAACGTCTCATTGATTTAAAACTTTTCACTTAGCTCTTTGCACTTTGCACCCATAATATTTTCTTTGCTTAGCCTGAATGTAGACTGGTAGGGAATGCCCGGATTAGTAAGCTGAAGTGGCAGTGGGCCGGCCATATAGCTCGAAGAACCGACAACCGATGGGGAAGAAAGGTTCTCGAGTGGCAGCCTCGTACCGGTAGGCGAAGTGTAGGGCGTCCCCCCACGAGATGGAGTGACGACCTGGTAAGACATGCAGGAAGTCGATGGATGCAGGTGGCTCAGGACCGTGCTTTGTGGCATTCTTTGGGGGAGGCCTATGTTCAGCAGTGGACTTGTGAAGGGCTGTAATGATGATGATGATGAGGGAATGCCCTGTTGCATTAAGTCCGCCTTTTTGTACTTGGTGTGCAAATAAAGCATAAATAAATAAACTTCTTATCAAGGACCGATGACAATGCAATAATTTAAGTAGTTTATCTCATTATCCTTGCCAGTATCCTTAGGATTAGCGATTTTTACATCCCTGATACCCAGTAGTGTCTTTGTGCTAAGTGCACGTATTGAATAAAACTTTCCGGAGAGGCAGCCCGAGAAACTGCTACATCAAATTAATACAGCTGGCGCACAAATTTCCCATCTCCCACATAAGTTACCGACTTCGAATAAAATAAAATATTGTGTAGGTACTTTAAAACTACATTCAACAAGTTACATCGAATCTTTTCCGATTGTAGCTAAAAACTACAAGATCTTCGATGTATGGTGAATTGATGTAATAATAAATAAATAAAAACTGAGCGAGCCAGTGGATAAAATGTTTTAAATTTTTGTCTGTCTGTCTTTTTGTTTGTTCCAGCTAATCTCCGAATTGCTGAATCAATTTTGACTTTCACTGGCAGACAGCCGATGTTATAAGGATTAACTTAGTCTACTTTAGTTTTAGAAAATAATTAGGGTTCCGAGCAAAAAACTTTAAACCCAAAATTATACGAGGGCGAAATCTTAGAGGACAGCTAATATCTTATAAACGTGATAGATACATTAACATATTCAAGACTCCGTTTCTGTGTGTTATATGATTATAATAATAAAAATAATTCTTTTTAATAATAGATATGGTATAATTACTAGCAATGCCTTATCATTACATCTAAGTCCTTAGAGATAATAATCCGTGTGTTGCTGCTGCATTAGCCACTGATAGTCTAGTAAACTGTAAGTTCGATTGTCCCTTCTATTTTATTAAAGAAAGCACATGATAATGTGCTCAGTTACGTCAACTTTCTTTAAAAGCCTTTACACAGCTCAAAAAAAATTAATTTAAAAATTTTATTCAAGACTAGCAACCCGCCCCGGAATTACAAGGGTATGAAATATTAACGAGGCGCATTTTAGATTTAAGGTAATCAATGACTATTTATGTTATCAATTTTTAGTATTTTTTTTTGTTTTCATAAAAATTCTCCGAGTATTTAGGAAAGAATATAGCCAAGATCACTTCTGATATTGCTCTACATCTATTCGTGGTGTTTCATTATAATCTGTTCGGCCATTCCAAAGTATAGCCAAAACAGACAGAAAGACAAAAACTTTAAAAATTGTTATTCATTTCTATCGACATACTAATAATTACCTTATATTAGCTAATTATTTCGATATTACTGACAGACACCTTAATTTTATTTATATGTATAGATATAGATGTATAGATGTAGTTTTCGCGTATATATAAGTAATCAGTGCACAAACAACTTCAATAAAAAGATGAGCGATTATATATTTGTCGTCGTATGAAATACCTTGAATGGTTTTTAATTAATTTTGAGTGCGAAACGAAAGGTCGTAGCGATAAACAACTACGTTTACAAATGAAATTTTGTTTTGCTAAAGAATTTGCATACTTAACTTCCATTCCGCCACAAGCTGCCGTCCGCTAAATTACAAGATATTTCTTTGCTTCTGATTTTTTTTATTTTGACCTCGAGCCCCATTTGAAGGAAAATTGATAATTTTTTCCGTATCCATGCAATAAAATGTAATATTATATATGTTACCGGAAATGTATGCAATCCGTTATTTTATACAATTCCTAGGAAATGTATGTAATTCCTAAAATCGCACGGAAATGTGTAAAATAAATTATATTACACACATTTCCTAGGAAACCTATACATTGTCTAAATAGCAGTCAGTAATGTAAATATTGGAGATATCAATGGGTATGCAGGGATAGCGGGGCGAGGGGAGGGTATTGTTTTGTCTGATCAGGCGATCTCGCTAGTGCCGCGTTAACTATCAATGTGTACGCACGTTGCTGTTGTTCAAAATGGCTACCGAATCACGCATCGCGCTTATGAAAGAGCAATTTTATAGTACTTTAGCGTCATTAAGAACCTTAACAAACGCTAAGAACACTGCTTATATTGAAGATGAACGTTATAAAGAGTAAATTGAAGAAGTTTCCACGGCAAAAATAACAGCTAGAACGACTTCTCGTGATTATTGGTTATTGCGGCGATACGATGTGCTTACCATTGACCAGAAAAGTAAGCTTATTTTTCCTGTCAAAGACACTACAAGCACTATTATTTACTACGCATGTGATAGCGAGTTATTCGACATATTACACGAGGCTCATATTCAAATTGATCACGGCGGAATAGATCGTATGATGAAAGAGGTAGGGAGTCACTACAAAAACATAACATGTAAGGATATAGAAACTTATATGAACTTTGTGAACCCTGCCAACAAAAGCAAAAAATATCAAAAAAGGCATTTTTGTAAAGCCTATTATATCGTCAGAGTTTAACTCTAGATGCCAAGTGGATCTGATAGATTTTCAGCCCCATCCCGACGGTGATAACAAATTTATAATAGTGTATCAAGATCATTTAACAAAATTTGTTGTTTTAAAACCACTTAAAACAAAACGAGCTGAGGAAGTGGCTCACACTTTATTGGACATATTTACTCTACTTGGTGCTCCTGCAATACTTCATTCTTCAGTCTGATAACGGCAGAGAATTTTCCAATCAATTTGCATTCGCAAAGTCAGGGGAGTGTGGAAAGAGCAAATCAGGATATTGAAAATATGTTGACCACGTGGATGCAAGACAATAATAATTCACATTGGAGTGAGGGTTTGAGATTTGTGCAACTCATGAAAAATAGAGCTTTTCACGCTGGTATTAAGCAATCTCCTTATGAGGCACTTTTTGGGTGTAAAGTAAAAGTTGGTTTACAGTTACCCAATGATTCCACGCAAAATGTAGAAACTGAAGAAGATTTGGAGAAAATTATACAGGACCTTACCAAAAAGGAAGAAGATCCCGAAATCACTGCATGTGAATTCTCTAAGGTGAACACGAAGACAAGTCAAGTTTCTAACAACGATTAAGATCAACGCGAAACAAATACGCAACCTTCAGCTTGCACCCTCCAATGCAGCGTCTGTTCACAAGAAACTACAGAGGCTCATACATGTAGAGAATATGGATGTGCAATCCACGCTATCTGCGCTGTTGCTGAAGAATCATCTGATGAATTTGGATCTAAAGTTTTGTGTCTATTATGTTTAAAAAAATATAAAGTACAAGATAATCGTCAAAGTGCTAAGAAAAACCTACAACAACAGGCTGAAAAAATGCTGAAATCGAGTGAAAAGAAGTTTGCTCCTGTACCTATTGGCACTTCTGTACTTCTTGACAGAGGACGTGGTGATGCCCGAAATATTATAGGTGTAGTTTTGGCTAAATCAGATGATGAGATTTATCAAATTGGTACCAAGAACGGAATCATAAAACAATCATAAATTCTCGATCTCAGATTAATGTGTGTCCAAGAGCTCTTCTTGATGCAGAGGATGTACCGAGTACGGAGATAGCACTACGGTCAGTTGCTAGCCTACAATTCACTGGAACCGGCCAGGGATTTAAAAAGTGCCATTGCAAGAAAAACTGTACTACAGCAAGATGTCTGTGCTATAAAAATAAATTATTGTGTACTTCCAAGTGCCATTCCGGCTTACCCTGCAAAAATAAATATAATAATCATATGGACTGACTCGTTATATAATATAAAGACTTACTTTAATATTGTGGCATTTATAATTACTTAAATAACAGACTAATTACTTACCCAACGAAAGCTTGACTTTATGAGAATAATGTAAGTAGATTTTGTGATAAATACATTTTAAAAGTTCCTAGATACTTGATTTTCGAAGCTTTAATTAGTAAAATAATATGAAGATTATTGTATTTTACGAAATGACTGTTACCTGAATGCTGTTGACTCAACGAGTGCTTTAATAAAAATTATTATTCTCATTTTAACAACGTGTTTAATTACAGAAATCATTATTTTTATACATTTCCTAATACGATATTGGAATTATATATAATTCCTAGGAGTTTTGCATATTTCCTAGGACATTTATGTATTAAATAGTTTTTGAAACAATATTTTATACATTTCCTAAATAGCTTCGGAATTATATAAATTTCCTAGGATTTGTATACAATTCCTAGATTTCATACATTTCCGGTAACATATACATGAGCCTCGTATCGATCTTGTTTCGCTTTGTAAAATATACGTAATAATAACTTATACATAACATACATATTATATTAACTCTCACGCATATTACCCAGAGATGTAAGCAGAGACTACGTTCTTTTATTTAGCACGACCCTGATAACATACGCATACATGTTTGTCGGTTAAGAATACTCTTTTTTTCACCCATTTTCAATATATTTCCAATTTGATAAATAAGCTTCCGTCTTCTTTGTCACTCTTTCATCATTCATTCTTACTACGTGTCTAAGCCACCAAAGCCATCTTTTAGCAAACCACCTTCTCTCTTATCACACAATTTCTCACCTTATTATTCAGGGTTAGCCCTAATATACTTTTTAATGACCGCATTTCTACGCGTGTTGCATGTCCATACTTCTTTTGCCACATCTAACTTTCACTAACATATGAGATAGGCTTGTTAGCCTTTTTAGCCAGCGTGCCTTTTTTTTAAACATTCTTCTTTTCTACAATAGTGTGAGCCCCATTTAGTCGTTTCTCCTTGTTCCTGCGTGTCTATTTACCTGATAAAGACACACCCTAAGTACACACTCATTTACTTTTCAACCAAATCATCTATTTTATTTCACATATCATTTTACTTTCTTCTCTATCAAAAATCAAAACTGTCTACGTATAAGCGTTAACTTTTAACCACTTATAATATATCGATTTAATGTAGTAAAAACCCGCTGAAGTCTATAGCTACAATCGTGTCTTCCACGGTAGGGAAATATGACATAATTTTCTACGTGGTAGAGCCGCGCGGATCGCGGGAGACCTAAACAGCAAGCACGTTAGTTGGAACGCTGACCTAAACAATCCAAACGGAAACATATTATGCGGCCTCACGGAGAGACTTAACTTCGACGTTATCGCTCCTGAGAGCCCAACTCACTACCCATTTATAACTAGTCACCAACCGGACGTCCTTGACGTAGCTATTTTAAGAGACATCCGGCTTAACATTAACTCGATCGAAACTTTCGTCGAACTATGCTCGGACCATAGGCCGGTCGTATTAGAACTGGGCCGGTCGGCTGGTGAGGTCCCTCAGACCAAAACCATCGTCGACTGGCGTAAGCTCAAGGTCAAACTTGAGTCTACGAACTCCCAGCATTTAGACTCAATACCGGACAAGATAGACTCGCCGGAGGAAGCCAATAGGGCGATTAGCGCCCTATCGACTCACCTCACATCAGCTGTCGAAGAGTGCTCCCATAAGGTTCGTGTGTCGAGCGATCGGTACACAAAGCTTCCGGCAGACGTTCGACGGCTGATTAGAGCGAAAAACACCGCGCTAAAAACATATGACCGTTATCGCACGGAAGATAACAAAATCCGGCTACATTCTCTGCAAAACGAGATTAAACAACGCGTTGTAGAATTTAGAAACGATAAATGGGATAACCTCTTAGAGGGATTAGAACCATCTCAATATGCCTTTTGGAGGCTGACTAAAGCCATAAAAGCAGAGCAAATTGCTCCCATGCCGCCTCTCGTGAGGCTCGACCACCCCGATCTCGCCTTAGACGATCTCGAAAAAGCCGAATGCCTAGCCGACAGTCTAGAGAGCCAGTGTACCCCATCCAGCGTACCAACAGAACCCGCTCACCTACTAGAGGTAGAAGCGGAAATCGAACGTAGGGCTGCGTTACCGCCAGCGGGCGATCACTCGATCCCGTGACTTTCGAAGAAGTCACTAAGACCATAAAAAGCCTTAAGATTAGATCAGCCCCTGGGCCAGACGGCATCAGTAACAAGGTGATCAAATCTCTTCCGGCACCGTTAATCTACCTCCTCGTAGGAATTTTCAACGCGCTTCTCTCGAGCTGCTCTTTCCCGGATATCTGGAAAGAAGCAGACGTAATAGGGATCCATAAACTGGGCAAACCGCGCAACCGACCCACCAGTTACAGGCCTATCAGCCTACTCAACACTTTAGGTAAATTATATGAGCACACTATCCTTAAGCGCCTCCGTCACTTCACGGAAACAAACAGACTCCTCCCTGACGAACAGTTTGGATTTAGAGCCAAACATTCATGTACTAACCAAACCCATCGCCTAACAGAATATATTCTGTCTGGCTTCAATCATCACCCGACAAGGAAAAAATCTCGAGACACGGGAGCCCTCTTCTTTGATGTCGCAAAGGCATTTGATAAGGTCTGGCACGACGGCTTGCTCTACAAGCTGTATAAACTAAACGTGCCGGACAGGCTCGTACACATCATCCGAGCCTTCCTTTCAAATCGCTCTTTTCGCTATCGAGTGGAAGGAACCCGTTCTTCGAAACGCTTTCCTAAGGCCGGGGTCCCACAAGGCTCCGCCCTGTCTCCAATTCTGTTCACACTTTTTACGAGTGACATCCCTAAAGATCCAGCGGTCAACACCGCTCTCTTTGCCGACGATACGGCTCTCTTTGTATCAGAGTACAATAGGAATATTCTCACTTCAAAACTCCAAAAAGCTGCCAATGGCTTAGGCGAATGGTTCTGCCAATGGAAAATTGAAGTGAATCCCGAAAAAAGTGTAGCAATATACTTTCAACGGAATCCAAAACAGTCCCGTAATGGACCAAGAAAACGTATGAAGGTAATTACCTTATACGGCCGCCCCATCCCATGGGAATCCTCGGCCAAATATCTGGGCGTTACGTTCGACGCCAACATGAGTTTCGCGAAACACATTATTATTGTTCGCAACAAAGCCAAGTCAGTCATTGGCCGTCTCCATCCTCTTGTGAACAGTAAGAGTAAGCTGTCTCTAAGACACAAACTCCACCTGTACAAAGCCTGCGTTAGACCTATCATGTCTTACGCAAGTGTAGCCTTTGCACACACATATAAGTCCCACCAAAACGAACAACAGAAAGTTCAAAACCATTTCATCCGTAAAGCCACCGGTGCACGGTGGTATCAACGGAACTCTGATTTACACAGCGATTGTCAACTCCCCTGTATCTCCGAATACTTTAAGGAGATGTCCCAGCGCTACTTTGACAGCGCTGAAGCTCATCCGAACCCCCTAGTGGTAAACGCAGCCAACTACGTCCCGATACCGAACGTCGCGCCGTTTCTCCGTAGACCGCGAAACGTATTAATAGAGCAACAGCGCTTGCTCGCTCTGGATCCCGTCGACCCAAACGTCGCAGGCACATCACACACTGACACTACACCCACACTAATTGGGACAAACACTAATAGGACAACGGATGGGGCGCGTCGCACCCGTAGGCGGGCACGACGCGTTCCAATACACACCGCGTACACACCGTACACCTGCGTGCCTGGGCGGTTCTCACCGCCCAGAACATCTTCTTACAGCTTCATCGGACGCAGGGCTCGCCGCCTGAAAGGCCGCGAGCTATTTAAAAGTGGAAAGGCGGTAGCTGGGATAAGGATGAGAATGATGATGGTTTATGATTTGGTATTGTTACCAATCATCATGTCCCCTCCGTAGAGGTTTATTTTGAGCTATCTAACCGCTGTCCGAGGGAGGGAATGCGAACCCCTGCCTCTGACTGCTTAGCTCGTATCGGTCGATGTTCTGGGCGTTGAAAACCACAAGTTTTTGTTATATGTTGTGTATTGGTAAGTTGGTGTGGTGCAAATAAAATGGACCCGATAAGGCGCTGTAGTCAAGTTATTAATCAATTTTATATTTACACCGTAAAAGACCGGACTGAAATTACGGCTTCACTCCGGCCGCTTTCCGGAAACGGCAGAGCAACGTCTACTGGGTAGCTAGTATATGTATCTATACATCGGACATCAATAGTCAAAACAAAACTACCCACAATTCTCATCATAG